TGGTGGGGATGGAGCTGGACAGTGTGGAGGCTGTGACTGAGAAGAGGATGAGAGGGAAGCTGAAAGCCATCATGGACAACCCCTGTCATCCTCTCTACACTGAGCTGAGGCAGCTCAGACTGACCCAGCCCCGAGTCTCAAAGCGCTTTGGAGGCTCATTTGTACCATCAGCCATCAGACTCACAGCGCCACAGCAGCCACTACCTCCAACCTCCGCTGATTAACACTGGTTTAACTTTAACCCGCTTTACACAACTCTTGCACAAACTCTAACTTGTTATTTGCACGTGTACAGTTTAGTTATAGAATGTTTTAAATATTTCTGCACAGCGTATCTCTTACTTGCATACTGCATATAGTGTATTTATTTTTAATTATTTTTTTAATTATTGTAATTTGTACACTCTTTTTGCCTACATTCCCCCTGTGTTGCTGTGTCAAATTAGAATTTCTCCCACAGGGATCAATAAAGGAACATCTTATCTTTTCTTATGGATAAAATAGTCAATTATGAAAGTAATTGTTTGTCATGATTATATGATGGTATTGTGCTTGTGTTTCTGTTGATGACCGGAGTTATGTGATGTAATACAACAGTGGAACATAGTTTATTGGTTTCAAGATCAGTTTCATTATTGTTTTAGTGACTGTACATACATTTGACATATTGTGATATTGCAATATTGGGAAAATGTTGCATAAAATATAAAAACACCCACACTGACGTTCCACAGTTGTTGTCTCCACATGGTATCTCTCTGTAGCTGCTGTAGAACCAACAGAGGTCAGCTAGAAGTGAAGATGAAGCTTTAGTGACAGGACATGTGCAGAATGATTATTTCCCCTCCTCTTTGTCTACCCACACTGCACAGAAACTTTGTTGTCGTCTCGAATCCCGTCAGTTTCCTGCTGGCCACCGTGGCTTTCGAGGAGGTAATGATGCAAGCCGGTGCTTAGCGTAGGCCCACGCACAAACTCAGCCTGCAGCGGCTTCACTGTGGGCCTCCATGACGCTCAGGGTTTCACCTCCCAGAAAATACATTAATGATGACATCGATTGTTTTTTTAGAGTATTTGCTGTTTATTTCTGTGTGTAGGAAGAAATGACAGAGAAGAAATCTGTTGCCACGTCTTAGCACTTTTTTGTAATGTATTTTTGATGTCACAGTTTGTTATCCTTATTTAACTCAAAATTAAGAATCACATGCCCTCTTTAGGTGAACAAGCATTAGTTTTATTTTAAAATAGCATCTACCTAAAGAACTTCAAAAACCTCAATTTCAGCCAATTTGCAATGTGATATTTATGTCACGCAAATGAAGTGAAACCAACAGAAGGAAAGGAAACTATTCAAAAATAATGATGGATGATTTGGAAAATGATCAGCATGAAATCTAAAGCACAGTGAGTTTGCAGGTGAAGATGTCAAACATTGGAGCACTAATGTAATCCTCGAACAACGTCCAAGGCTGTTGTGTGAGCTCCCGAAAATCGAAGTGAAGCCACATCCGCCTGTCAGCTCTGGATTATTCTGTTAGTACTAGTTAGTTAGTAAGTTCATCACAGGTGTGGACAAGAAAATGCAAAGTCACACACTGATGCCAGCAGACAGTGCTCATTTTTATTAGTAACAGTTGGAGCAGATGGATCTCAATACTAACATACCAGTGTAATTCAGTTGATGTTGACAGTTGGCAGATAAAATGAAATGTACCATGCGTGGTAATGACAGATTATATTTACAATTCCAGTGTGTATAGTGGCCATTAAAGGGATAGTTTGACATGTTGGTAAATACGCTGATTCACTGACACTTATTCTGGCGAGAGTTTTCCTGCCTGCAATTATAACCAGTTGTGTTAAAACAAACAACTGAGTCGGAGACACCGCCACTGGGGATTAAAGAACCAGTGGGTGGGATTTAGTGGCATCTAGTGGTCAAGTTTCAGATTGCAACAAACTGAAGAACCGCTTGCCTTCCAACCGTGTAAGAAAAAGTACTGAGGCTGCGAAACTCGTGGAAAATGTGAAAAGCCCTATCTAGATCTAGCCAGTGTTTGGTGGCTGTTCTGGGCTACTACATAGAAGAGGACCCGCTCTCTCTATTCTAAGGTAATGAAAACACAATGTTTCTTATTTTCAGATCATTTTATGCTAATGAGAAGAAATAAAACAACGATTGTATTCCATTTCAATAGATTACAATAGATCCTCCTGAATGTGACACATAGGACCTTTCATCTTAAAACATGAATTAATAGATCATGAAAGGAACTGAACACAATGCTCTGGCGTTCAGTGTTTATCCTCTTCAGCCAGATATTTAGCATTCGGATTGCTGATTCAAACATTAGCAGGTTTTCTGAAGTCTGTAATGCAGTTCTATACGTCCACTCTGTCGAGATATGAATCCCACTGTGTTTAAACCTGATGGCTTTAGGGGAAGTCTGTGGAGCAACTGAAGCAGAGAAACCAGCCGTGCAACATCTAGTCTTTGTTTACATAGTTTGAATGTCAGACTAAATGAGCTCTGTCGCTTCCTGCCAGCTCGTTGTTTAAAGGATCTTATGTCTTAGATCTTATCTGCTTTTTGCGAGGTGTTAGAAGAAGAGCTCTTGTTTTTTTAATGCTCAGCTCGTCTGGCTCAGAGTAGAGTTGTATGAGATCAAGAAAGGAATAAAAGCTGTATACATAATACTCTGTACTCTGTCTTACAGGGC